AAGAACAATAACAAAGACGTCACACGCAGCACACTTTCATACAGAAGTAAAGTACAGAGGAGTGTGTGGATGCGGATTTGGAGCAAACAGAGACTGCCCTCACTGTCCCTCCACTAACCACCTCCAACACAGCTGTCTTCCATCTTTGTATTCACCGAGTGACTCCGGCCAGTGCAGAATTGTAATGAATGTAGATCTAGAGTGACATAAAAGTCACATGAATTCTGATATGACTGTTTACACTGTTTACACTGTATCAGACCCATATCTAATTTAAAATATGAATGTGGCCCAAATCAGAATTTTAAAAGGTCAGATTCTACGTAAAAACATAGCTTACTCTCGGCAAGAAGGAGAATAAGCATATTTCCCAAAACTTTGAACTAAAACGTAAATATAAAACCTAAAATGGTGATATATGTCTTTACAGTATACGTATTATACTCTATATACTATAATTTCTACACATTTGTGTGCATTAATAGTGATAGAAGAAACTTACTTGCCGGACAGAATATCTTGTCGAAGCTGCAACACAAACAGATACCTGTTGGTGTAAAAAAACAACAACAACACAGATTGAGAGCCTCACACTGAGCAAGAACATAAATCAATTGATGTATCACAGCCTTTTCCTCATCTCTGACACATAATTTGTTTTAACAAGTCTCTGTCTGTTTGGCCTTGATTTGAATCTGCCCACAGCAGCAAAGTAATTAGCCCCACATCCCCTTTGGAGCTCCGCACTGGGCTCCTGAGAAAGCTGCGTGTTCATGTGTGTATGTGTGTGTATGTGTGTGTATATGTGTGTATGTGTGTCTGATTTGTGTGCGAGTTTTACCTTGTAAATTCCTCGCGCAGGTTATTTGGCTCTGAAGAGTAAAATTTCACTCTGAAGAACAGTCTGTATGGAGGCCCGTCTGGAAGAAATAAAGAGAGAAAAGTGTAAAAAGAAGAGACAGTATGTGTGTGAGGCTGGAAGCGAAAGAGTAGCAATTTACTGAGAATTAATTCAATCAAATCAAATTTTCCTATGATTTATTTTCTCCATTTTATCTCATCCAGTCCATCCATCATTGTCAGCCTGGCCATAAATCTGTATTCAGCCGCATTCCTGTTTCACTTCAATATCGATCAGACTTTCTTTTTTTTTACGCTCCTGAACTACAACTCGAGAAAAGAAAGGACCGGCAGACAAGTAGAACATCCGTTTCTCCTCCCTCCTCCTGTAAGCATTCATCCCCGTTACAAGCTGGAGAGCAAACAAGGGTACGGCTCCTAATGCACATGCTAATCGCCATGTCAACATTTGATAATGCGCCACCTGCTCCCCACTTACCTGCTTTCTCATGCACATACAGCAAGCTGCACATTTACCTGCACACACACAACACAGGTAGACCTAATTAGAAGTTGAACCTACCTCGGATCTGTTTCTTTATAAGCTTTGTCATATCCAGCCAGTGCTGAAAGAGAAAAAAAAGAGAATAAGAAGGTGAGTTATATCAGTTTGTGATCTACAGTGACAGACGTACGAGCTTGTCACTTGTTACTTACTGAGACTTGTTCTGTGTCCATGAACTGCAATCCAAAGTAGTCTGTCTCAACCAGATCTATGTGATACATGATCTGGTCAAAGAGGTCTTGACCTTTGGATTTACTCTGCAAAAGAAGAACAAAAACATTGAGCTTCCTGGGTGTTTTTTTTTTTTTAATCTCTTCAGCTGTAATAACCTGATCCTCTTGTGATAAATTGAGTCTCACTCAGGTGGCCGCTGGATTCATTTTCACAATTTATGTGAGTGTCCATAACAGGAGCAAAATGACTTATAGTGCATGTGAAAGTTGCTATGTGTGTGTGTCTCTGTGCATCTGGGTCAAAATGAGAAGGACAAGCCTCTGAGGAAAAAAGCCCCTATTCAGGCCTTTGTCAATAACACCTACACAATCATTGAACTTAAGCACAAATACTGCAGCAACATTTTGTCCCATGTGAACAGCTCACGAGCAGATGGGCCTCAACGTCCCTTATAAACACCTAACCTCAGTCTGACCCATATAACACACAGTGGGTGTGTGGAAAGATGACAGCCTTGTACTTTGGATCCTGATAACCAGTCTAAACTTCCTGGTGAGTGTATGAATGTGTGAGGAAATCAGTGGTATTAAGGGATTGGGGACAGGAAAAAAATAAAAAATAAATCACCAGAACGCTCTTGCTCATTCTGCAGCATGTTTAGAGAGGCTGATTGAAATCATAGCCTGTATCACATGGGCGCACATGCAGTAGCAACACAGTCACACACACACGTACACACTGAAGTGAATATTTTACTGTTCCTGTTCGACCTTGTGTTTTGTCTGCACTGCTTGAAGTGACTAATAAGCTTTAATAAGCCAGTCTCTGTTCTCTTAGGTGCACCTGACATGAACAAACTTGTTCCAACACACCTTTGACTAAGCCGCCAGCTCGACAAGCCTGTGTCATTTTGTTGTTGGGGCTGTTCGCAAAAGCTGTAGCTTTTGTGTTATTGCTGTAATCTCCCCGTAGGACAAAAGAAATACTCTCCCTCCTGATAACCCACTATACATGGTCGACCATTTAAGAGGTGACGCATGCATGCAACAGCTTCAGTGACACACGCAACCTTCAAAATGAAAACATCTTGCGAGGAGCCACTTGCGCACAAAATGCCCACACACTCGCTAATCATCCAACCTACCCCTCACACACTCGTAGCACTAGTCTGTGACACAGAGGCCCCACAGTGGTAAATCAGATCAGGGAGTCAGGGAATAAAGAGAGAGAGACAGAGGGAGGGAGGTGGATGGAGAGCGGGAAGAAGAAAAAAAAGGGAAAAAGACGGGGAGGAGGATGAGGAGGCAGAGTGTGAAAGAGTAAGACGATGAGCAAGGGAGCAGGCCACAGAGGGAGAGTAAGAGAAGATTATAGGAGGGAAGATGGGAGAGTAAGGGGGGAGGGGGGGGGGATTGCTTGAGGAAGATCAGATACAGGCAAATAGACTAAGGGAGAGAGAGAAAGAAGAAGAAAGTGAAAGGAAGATGCTGTAACCGAGCAAACAGGAGGGGGCAGGTTCGGGTCTGTGTTAGTTAGATTTCCCCAGTAGTCAGAATGGGGAAGTAATGTGATGAATTGGCTGATCGTAACACCATCTGGAGCTGCACCTCTCACTGTACTGGAAGAGACACACTCACAAATACACACTGATACTATTTAGGCCACTATGATACTACAGGCAGTGAAAACTTTGGTAACTTATCTGTTTTTGAGTTGGGATGCAGCTACCAGTGATTTACATTGTTGATTACTCTGTAATTGTTTACACTCATACGTCTCAGATCACAAAATGAGGTGTTTAAGTTGCTTATTTTGTTTGACCGTGAGTCCAAAACTTCAAAAATATTCAATTTAAAGTGATATGAAAGGGAGAAGGTAACAAATCCTCACATTTGGAGGAAGCACTTATCTGTGTGTCTGTTGATGCTTCATAATCATAAATGCTGGTTGATTAATTGTTTCTGTCAAATCCACTAATTGGAACTGGGGAAACTAAGAACGCAGTGCAAGTAGGGGCACTAAAAATAGTCTTTTCACGCTTGGCCTCTAACCAGCGCGCGTTTCGATACAATTCAACTTCTTACTGACAGATAAACTCAAGCTTTCCTCTTTTTATTTTTTTATTTTTATTTTTTTTTTGAAAGTAAGTGAAAACAACCCGGACTGAAGGCTTGAATGGATAAATTATAGTAAAATTAAATGTCAGCGCAGTAAACTAGTTCTCCATTTTTTGCAGGGGACCCACCAGGAACCCCTACAAGGGTCCCGAACGGGGTCCCCGGCCGCACCGTTTGACACACACACACACACACACAGAACACACACAACACACACACCTGACCTAGGCTACCATAGTACTCTGTTTCACACACTCTGTAAACAAGAGCCGCTGTCAGAACACAACCTGGAAGGCTTTCAGCGCACTACAGGCAAATCCACAATTTGAACCATCCGACGCCGTCCAGCCCGCAGGACGCGGGCAGTGGATGCGGTGGTCTTCGCGTTCGGACGAAGGGTGTGACCGCAGCTCCCGCACGACCACGCAGGGCCGACAAGTATCACCCTGGCTGCTGATGCTACCGAGCGAGCAGGGGGATCCACGTACAAACTCACACTAGCACATACACTCGTCACCACACTGTCTCCTCACCACCCATAATATACAAGATAGACAGATAAATAAGAATAGAAACCCGCTCTCCTCGTCTGGAAGGCGGCTCCAGGGAAGCGGCGGCTGAACGTCCGGCGCGAGAAAGCACTCATCCCTTCCTCTCGCATCCGCAGAGGCCGCGAGGAGAGAACGTGCTCGCGTCCGAAAACGTCGTTCACAACAACGAGTCGGTGGCGCGGGGTCCTGCTTCTTCTCCGCTGCTGCCTGCCGCGCCTCTATGCTCTCCTCCTCCTCCTCCTCCCCGGGGCGAGGAGTCACTTAGCAGGCACGGAGGAGACTTCAGGGCTGCCGATCAGTCCTCAGGCTGGATGTCGGCAGCAGCGGGGCGACTCCAACCGCATACTAATGAAACTCACACAGATCGACCACCGAGGCGCCAACCAGTTGATTTCCAATCATTCGGCCCGGTGTGAACACCAGGACTCTCACGGAAATACAAACAGCCCTCCTCCTCCTCCTCCTCCTCCTCCCTGTCCTGTCCTCTCCAGTGCACCTGCCTCCTGCTTTTTGCTCGCTGTTGCGCACCGACTCTAAAATCCCGGAGAAATCCCGTCCGACGCTCCGCAGTGGGAGCCCCTGAGTCACCCGGGGCCGGGGAGGGAGGAGGAAAGTGTTGTCACCTCTGGAACCGGGACCGGACCCCGGTGGTTGTGCTGCTTATGCCCAGCGTTGAACCGAAACTAGTCTACCTCTCAGGTAAAAGTCAACCAACGAAAACTGGACAAACAGTGTGATCTGCGCCTGCGTAAAAGCACACAGCGCAAGAACAAACTTCTGTTCCTCCCGACTGGCCGACCCATCAGTGCCGGCGAACTAGCGCCACCTGTCTGTCGAGGGCACGCCGGTTCATGGGAGATCATTAGTGGTTCCCAAGGTGAGGTCCAAGGTGCCCCCAAGGGTCGTTATAGGGTTTCCAGGAGGTCCCGAGTATAATGGTGATGACTTATGTCGCTCTGTTTGATCAGGGCCGCACCCAGGACTCACTGAGAGATACTGAGATCAGGAGTCCACACAAAAAAGTCAAATTCAATTTTATTGCATTTAAAAACAGCAGAATGAGTCTATAAATCTTTATTTTTTTATAGTCTAATGATCTTTTTATTGATGAAAATACAGGCAGAGCGCAATTGTTCACATCATAAAATGTACCCTCTTAAAATGACAATGGTAAAAACCAAACAATGTAATTTATGAGTGAAATGATGAGCTTCTGTATTCTCTCTGTATGTGAGGGGCTCATTAGTGGGTACATACCAACATTACACAGCAACCGTACAAAGAAAGAACCACAGAACAGCTTCCTAAACTCAAATCCTCACAGCGATATTACTTTCTGTTACAGTGTCTTGCTGTAATATTTTCTCATAACCAGACAGTTTCTGGCTGATTTGTGATGCTGGGAGTTTCACTGATATGATGCCAGCTTTAGAGGCACTCAGCTGAAGGTTAAATAAGCAGACAACTCTTCCACTTCAGTGAGCAGCTTCATTCTGCAAGGAAGTGTGACAAAGGCCTGATTTGCTAAAAGACACCACCAAATGTCAACATAAAGTGACTCATCCTCATTTAATGATCTACTTTATACCTTTCACCAGAGGAAATGACAAAGCAGACACGTCAGTATAAATCAGTGTGTTTATTTTGTGTCTTAATAATTTAAGAGGGTTGAACAGTGGGTTGATGCTCCTCTGGCGGACCACCATCATCTTACAGTATCTGCTGTAATGATCTAAAGCCTGCCTTGGTCTTCGTCTTTGGAAACACAGATAAACTACAGATTATAACGATCCAGGTCTTCCTCCGCCTCCCTGTTCGATACGTCGACTGGAAGGCGTCAGTCTAAGGCACACATAGCTTAATAAGTCGAGGCAACGTTCCTGAGTGGCCTCTTGGACAGAAATTAGCAGCTCATATCAGTCTTAGATCAGTCTCTACGGAGGCCGCAGCTTCTACAAGCTTAATGTGCATTATCATTTAAAACTAAGGCAGACTAGGTGTATGATTCATACTCTCACATTGAATCTAGGCTACACAGATCACAGACAGCTGTGCTCTGAAGCTAGTTATTCTCTCATTATCCAGTCTGTGTACCAGTCCCATAGGCGCTGACAGAGGTTAATCCGCTACAGCGCTGTAAGTCCCTCTGTGGCAGTCGCGTGCAATGAGACAAGGCTGAAAATGTGAGTGTGCCTGAGCTGGTCCTGTTGCTGATTTGGGCTACGGTGCTGTAGATCCCTCCTGTTTCTCTTTGTAGACTCGCAGAATGGCCTCACACACAAACTGGAACTGACACTGAAACACACAACATACAAAGTGTTACTAGCTATTAGACAACATGGCTGTTTTTGAATGTGAAACACAGGTTATATTTAAGTTCCATGAAAACAAAAGAGTCAACGATGAACTGACTGTG